ACATTAGGACCCACTGGTGTCATCTTTGTCAGGGACCCACCCGCTTCCAGTCTTCTAGAACTATGCGGTGACTAACAACAAGTTGTGGACTGATGTTAGGTACTCAACTGCAGGTTCATACAGTTAATTATGTATTACCACACTGACGCGGAATAGCTTATCACTGATCGAATACAAATGTCCCGCCTTATTTTCGGTATTTTTATGTCTCCAGAGGGTAAAATAAATCTTTCCATAAGTGCTGCAAAAACTTCATTCTGATCATAGATGTGTCAAGACATTTGTTGTGTAGACATCTTCCTCTGCTGCTTTGGGTGGGGGATGGTCTCCGACTTATTGTTCTTCCCGACTATATGAGGTTACAGTTCTACTGTCGGTGTGACTGGCTCGGCTTGCCGGATAGGCCTGCTGATCTAGAAGTTCACGCTTGTACTTTGGACCCCTCTCTCTCACTACATTAGGACCCACTGGTGTCATCTTTGTCAGGGACCCACCCGCTTCCAGTCTTCTAGAACTATGCGGGTGACTAACAACAAGTTGTGGACTGATGTTAGGTACTCAACTGCAGGTTCATACAGTTAATTATGTATTACCACACTGACGCGGAATAGCTTATCACTGATCGGCCTATTGTTATATATGAGGTCATAAGTATTTTCTTGACAGCAGCTCAAGTGCTGCCGGCCAGCGATTTGAGGACCTTGTTCCAACTTCGAAAATAGCAGTGCCTTTTGCGGACGATTTAAAAAGGCTGACGAACATTATACCCAAGGTCTTGGATTAGTTGGTGGCTGGAATCAGCACTCCATCGACCATATGATCAGCGAGAGCACCATTTCAGCCGCCCAAGTAGTACTTTCATATTCCTTAACGCCTATTCCCTCCCATATGTCACCAATAATAGGACCCATTGGTGGCATCCTTGTTAAGTTGAGGGCTGATGTTAGGTACTTAGCATTCTTTGTGACATCTGCAACGTCTTCCTTTGTAAATTGTGGAGGTACCTTCTCGGCTGGAAACTCTCATAAGCTATTCAGATTGTCAATGGTTAAGGAATCTACGGCATTTATATATGTGCCCATGATTTTGAAAGTGGTATAAGTCATATTTTTTTTGTTTCGATATATTTAGAGTTTTGCATTTTAAATGATTAAAAAATATTCTTGCATTATGGATTATGACTTTTCGACATTAAAGTAGTCCCAACAAACAAGTATTTATTATGATTGTGAGATTTATTGCCTTTTTTAAAAGAAAATGTGGTTTTGAAAGGCTTAAATGACTTGTACCACTTTCAAAATTAACTGCATGACTTTATAAATGACTTATACCAAAAATGAAACAATTTTAATAGTAATTAACGTTTTATTCAAACTCATTTCATTGTGACAAAGTAAATTATTCATTAGTATTTAGATAAATGAAGTGTTTGTGAAAAATTGGTGGAATATAGGGTAGTAGATCCATCATATCTTTACGTTTTTTTGTTATTGGTCTAATAGTTGCGTATAATGGAAGTAAATCAATATTTCCGTATATTCTAGGTTTTCCTTTTTTAGGAATTCGGAGTTGTCATCCAAGGAAGTTTTATAAAACATCTTATATGGGGCATTTTTTAGAAATCTTCATTGATGTTTCTATTTCTATTATTCGTTGATTCTTTTAGTTGTTTTGTAGAAATAAAATCTTTTTGATCCATTTGTACTACGGAAATAGGTTTCTCATCTTACATGATTCTATTAAATTATAATAATGCTCAGGGGCGTATAAATAATTAGATTTTTTAATTTTAGTTTCTATCAAACCAAAATCCCGATCATTTGGCAAGAAAGAATGGCCGGATACCATAAATTTATGATCAATTGTTTCAACATTATTATCAGCTGACATAACAATTTTTAACCATATTAAAACTATGTTAATGTTTCCATTTTGTCCAGAGCAGGCATCACTGTAAGCTAATATATGCTTTTGAGTGGTAATGTCCCGAATATGATATTTCTCTTCATTTTTCTTATATTTTGTGCATAATTCTGTGAATTGCGTTCATTTTACGTCATCTTGATTTCATTTGTATGGGTTCTGCATCTGATTCATCAGAAGACGATATAATTCTTATTCATTTCCATTTCTTGGGATCATTTATTCGCCGTAAAATGTCAACAATTAACTTTAAATAGTAGGTTTTTACATTAAAAGTTTTACTTCATCCTACCTGAAGCACTATCTGAAGACATGACAAAATTACTTTGTGAACACACTGACTTATACCACTCAAAACCAACAATATCTGTATTTCAGTTAACAACTAAAAAATAAACGCATTTAATGACTTAATTTGCATGACATGCTGCTACTTTCTTCAGATTATATTATTTTATTAAGATTTGACAAGTAAAAGCTGATAAAGTAGATTTTTAAAATTTTTGACTTATACCACTTTCAAAATCATGGGCACATATTATCAAGAAGGGTGGTACATTAACGGAGACGATGATAGAATGTGGCCTGATCCTGGTGCCACCATGGTAATGTCTGACAAGCTGTGGACATTTTCCATAACCCTTGTGGGGCATCCTCATCTGAACCGATTTTAGCGAAACACAACACATGCTATTCTAGACACAATTTGGAATGCTAATCCAAATTTCGTCTCAATCTGGCAAACCTTGGGATTTTGGTGCGTCATTTACATAAAAACGGATGAAAATATACGTTGGAGGTATATCTACATCACATCCGATTCCAATGAAACTTAACATGTTTTAATCTATACTGAATTCAATACGCTTTGCTAAATTTCGTCTCAAACACATGCACAAAGACAAACATATGCACAAAGAAGAACAAAAAAAGTCGATAAGTTCGGCCGGACCGAACTTTGTATACCCTCCACCATAAGATGGACATTGAGTCGATATTAATTATTTTTAGTATAGTCGTTCCAAAAATACTATCTTAGAGCTAATTCGATTGAAAAACGTACAAAATATCCCCAAAATACCGAATACTGCGAAAGTTGGGTCAATATTAATAAACTTTAGTAGGAACCTCAAAATACTGAATATTGGTTCTCTTATATTCGGACTACCTCGAAACTTGGTTTCGAATTACAACCGATTTGGTTAAAAACGTTCCCAACAAGCCCAAGATACCGAATATTTAGGGTATCGCTATATGGCGACTATACCAAAACGTGGTCCGAAATATACCATTTGAAATGACTGTGCAAAATTTCAGAGTTCTATCTTAATTATTGCGATATCCATCGTGATTTCGACAGACCGACTTGGCTTAATCGACATAGAATTTTATTTTAATTAAGAAAATTTATATTTTATGGGGTCTCCGATCGTTATTTCGAGGTATTGCAAACGAATACTATAATTACTATCCTATGCTCATTTCCACACGCATAATGTCCAACCATTCTCTTAATACCACTTACATTTCCACTACAATATCTTGCTATATTGACAACAAAATAAAATGTTTTTCATTCTCATTTTACAGATGGTCAACAACACATTTATGCTGCTCCCTCACCGCCACATTCACTGGCCATAATTGCTCACAGTGCCACATGGATGCAGTTGACATGGCAACCACCAGAATACTCACATCCTCATGAGAAAATTACCTACAGGTATGTACATAAATACGTTAATACATTTCAATGTGACAAGGACACAAGAGAAATGTCAAATGTGTCAACGAACAAAAAGATAGTTGAAGGATGAAGGACGAAATTCTGATTCTATCCGGTATTATTTAATTATGAAAAGTCACCGAGATTATCGTCAACATTCATGACAATATATATTTGTGGTCTTTTTGTATACAAAATCTCTATCAGTGTTTGTGTGTGGTTTCATAATAAGTCATTTGGGCAGAATGATGTCCTTTGTGAAAAAAGGACTTTCATGAAAAAGTGGATTTGTTGCCATAGTAATCGATTATTACGGTTGTCGTTTTTACAATCCTGTTGGCCTTCTTAAACAATTCATGTTGTTGTTTTTGTAATAAATCAAGGATTTTAATATGCCATTCCATGTTATTGCATTTTCTAGTCTCTCTTACTTGACTTTGTAGTTGATCTCTTTTGCTCTTTTGGTTTTTACCAAAGCATTACTGTAAAGCAAAAGTCATGTTCTTAATTACACAAAGTTCAATTGCTTCGAAACAATAATGACATCAAGGACAGCATCAACAATAGTTACATCAAGGCCAGCAAACAATCTATAGTTTCACCACATTCAGGGCTTCACTCGACGGGCGTTTGCCAATATAACCATTATCTTCCATACGAACCTTCGGCTGTACGAGTAGGCAAGTTAAGAGTTTCTGTCAGATTTGAATATTTCAAAGGAATTGGGAGAGAGTGAAATAAATATGAAAGACAATGAGCCCGCCAGAGCTATAACCAGAAGGATACAATATTTATATTGTAAAAATATTTATATTGTAAAAAATAATAAATGTTTGTTTATTTATTTCCCTTTCGAGAAAAGCTACATGATAGAGCTTTGCACATCCATTGATATATTGAAATATATATGAGTCCATTTTTAAGGGTAGCCCCTATATAACGGTACCGCCCAAATTTCGGTATTTATAAACGTGTTCAATTGTATTGGCTCCAATTTGATATTTTACAATCTTTCTACCAAAAATTATTAATATCGGTCTATGTTCTGTGGTAGCCTTCAAAAGAGCGCTATTCCCCAATATTCGTGGGTTGTCATATCAATATCGGTTTACGTTTCGATATAGCTCCCATATAGCGATCCATTATCGATATTTTGAAAGATTTAATATAACCGATGTGGGGTTCTTGACCTACATATAGACAGAAACTACCCCCATATAAGAGTACCGCACCATAGCCAGTATTCTTGTGGAAGTTTTGATATAGCCCCTCAGAAAGCCATTTTTTGTATTGTTAGGTTTTAACCAAATTTTCTCAACGAAGTGCTCTAATTTGGCAAAAAAAGGAATTTTCCATGACACCGACTTCCAAAAATAGTTCTAAAGTTATTCAATTCATAAAATTCCAGTACAACCAATTTGTATTATGTTTAAATTAATACCAGTAAAGAAAGTTCGGACGAGGCCGTTCACATGATACCCTTCACCACTTTGAACATATACAAGAAACGCTCTTATTATTGGGTAAAATTGAGTATTAATTCAAACAAAATTATGTATAAGTGATCTATGTAAATCTGGTTCGATTTGAAGGACGTTGGCACGTGACACGTAAAGTATGAGCCTTGCTTGTAGCTACAGAAGTTTCTAGACGATCTGGTAACACCTAGATCACGAACAATCTACCAATGCAACAAACACACATACAAATTTACATTGAGTAAACAATAACAACAACACATACAAACTTACATTGAGTAAACAATAACAACACATATACAGGCGAGGGGGTGACAAAGAAAGAGGAATTAAGCGATCATCAATGATGACGTTTAACAAGAATTGTACGACAATAACAAAATAGAAAATGAAAGAGGAAATGGAAGGATGTAGAAAAATCTATACAGTAGTTGTTGTTGTGAAGTTATTCAAATAAACTGCGCAGTAGAAATTTACGTTACAATTCAAATTCTTAAATTAACGGAATTCATCTAAATTAACTTAAATCTAAAGTTATATTCGTAACATTGCCCCCCGCTTAAGCCTGTTCGTCCCGAATAGGCACAGTTCCCGTTCCGTAGCGGGCCAGCCGCTCCAAATGTACAACTTTCATCTTCGACCTGGGACTGTCACTCCTCTGGATGCGATAAACGACGTCATTTATTTTCGTGACAATCTTGTAGGGTCCTTCCCAGTGCGTTTGCAATTTGGAGCAAAGTCCTTTCTTTCGTTGTGGGTTGAACAATAGTACCAGTTGCCCTTCTTGGAACCCATCGGTATTTGCCGCTCGATCGTACCTTGCCTTCATGCGGTTGCTAACCAATTTTATTCGATGGCGAACAGCATCGTGGACTTTACTAAAAGAGTTCTGACTGTCTTCTTCTTGGTTCACATCGTCGTTTGGGGTAGCACCGAATATCAAATCGCCAGGTAGCTTTAATTCATTTCCGAACAGAACTTTGGCTGGAGTCCGGGATGTGGAATCATGAATGGCCGATCTATAAGCCAGTAAAAACTTTGGAATATGCTCATCCCAGTCTCGTTGGCCACTGTCCACCACTTTCCGTAGATGTTCTTCAAGGGTGCGATTGAATCTTTCCACCATGCCATCTGATTGTGGATGAAGGGGCGTCGTTCTGGTTTTCTTGATTCCGTAGGAGTCACACATTTCCTTGAAGATCGCTGATTCAAAATTCCTACCTTGATCGGAGTGAACCTCCGATGGAACACCATAGCGACAAATCCAGTTTTTGCTGAACACATCCACAATTGTCCTGGCTTCTTGATTTGGGATAGCATAAACCTCTGGCCATTTACTGAAGTAATCCATGACCACTAAGACATACCGGTTCCCAGAGTCGCTTGTGGGGAACGGTGCAGCTACATCCATTGCGATTCTTTCAAAAGGGGCTCCTGAATTATACTGCTGCATGTAACCTCGACTCTTCCGTGTTGGACCTTTAGCTCTTATGCACCTTTCACAATTGGCGATCCAGTCGGCAATGGATTTTTGACAGCCGACCCAGTAGAATCTCTGCTTTACCTTTTCAGCGGTCTTTGCTATGCCAAGATGTCCTCCACTTGGCCCATCGTGAAACTCCGACAAGACATCTCTTATTTTGGAGTCGGGGACGACGATCAAGTTCCGGTGAGATTTACCGTCCTCACTTTCCCATTTGCGATATAAACAACCATCTATTATAAGTAGACTGTCCCACTGGGCCCAATAGGATTTTAAAAGAGGGCTTTCGGAGGTAATTTCTTTGCGACTAGGTCGCTTGCCCGTTTCTATGGCCGAAATTATTTTGCCCAGAATGGGATCTCTTCGTTGTTCCGTCGACCAATCTTCACCCGACTCAAACTGCAATAGTCGGACATCAACGATATTTTCTTTATTCTCAGCCTTTGAGCAATGCCTGCATTCTACCTTGCATGGCCGACGAGACAGGGCATCAGCATTACCGTGCTTTCCGCCTTTTCGGTGCTCGATTCTGAAGTCATAACTCTGGAGCCTCTCGATCCAACGGGCTAGTTGACCTTCCGGATTCTTAAACTGCAGCAACCATTGGAGAGCAGCGTGGTCGGTCCTCAGCAGGAAATGCTGGCCATATAGGTATTTGTGGAAGTGTTTAACACACTCAAGGACAGCAAGCAGCTCTCTTCTCGTCACACAGTAATTCCTCTCAGGTTTCGACAATGTCCGGCTGTAGTACCCGATGACTTTTTCCTGTCCGTCGATTTCCTGGGAAAGGACGCCACCGATGCCGCACGCACTTGCGTCTGTGTCCAGAACAAACTTTCCGCCAGGTATAGGGTATGCCAAAATGGGGGCTCTGCATAGCATGTCTTTGAGTTTACTGAACGCCTCTTCTTGGTCGTTGCCCCACTGAAACCTCTGGCCTTTTTGCGTCAAGCGGTGTAGACAGGCGGCGATGTTGGCAAAATTTGGGACAAATCGACGGTAGTAGGTGCAGAGACCCAGAAAGCTTCGCAGCTCATGGAGATTTCGGGGCTGCGGCCAATCTCTGACGGCTTGAATTTTCTCCTTATCCGTCGATATGCCCTCCGGCGTCACGTGGTGCCCCAGGAACTTCACCTCTCGTTGGAAGAGACTGCACTTCTTTGGGTTTAACTTGAGGCCTGAAGACGAAAGCTGCTGTAGAACATCCCTTAAGTTCCTGATGTGTTCGTCGAAGTTGCGTCCCATGACTATGATGTCATCCAGGTATATGAGGCACGACTTCCACTGCAGCCCTTTTAACACACGCTCCATCAGCCTTTCGAATGTAGCCGGGGCGTTGCAGAGTCCGAATGGCATGACATTGAACTGCCAGAGACCCCCATTAACGCCAAACGCTGTTTTCTCCTTATCTTTCTCGGCGATCTCTACTTGCCAGTACCCACTCTGCAGGTCGAGGGTGGAGAACCATGACGTCCCGGCTAATGTGTCCAATGTGTCGTCGATTCTTGGGAGCGGATAGCTGTCTTTCTTGGTGACATCATTTAACTTTCGGTAGTCCACACAAAATCGGGTGCTTCCGTCTTTCTTCTTGACCAATACCACTGGGGAGCACCAATACCACTGGGGGGACCAATACCACTGGGGAGCACCATGGACTCTTTTCCATTTCACTTATCAGCTTCTGGACCTCGTCTCTTTTCGCCAGGGGAACACTTCTTGGAGGTTGTTTAATGGGTCTCGCGTCAGCTGTATTGATTTCATGCTTCACCACTGATGTTCTTCCTTGGTGCTCTTTTGTCAACGCAAAGGTAGAGGCATATTTCCATAATAGCTGCTTAGCCTTGTTCCTCTCGGAAGGTGATAATTGGTGTGTCCACTCTTTTATGTAGCCGTCGAGGTGCTTCTTCTCCATGGCTGCTGGCTTTTCGGTGCTAGTTTCCAAATTAACTACAGCTTCAGCTGGTGTGCATTGTCCAACATCGGAAAATTGGCAAATTTGCTCTTGCTTGTTTGACAGGTTCAAAACTCTAACAGGAATTAATCCGTCCTTGTTGCTTTTCACCAGGGCATTCGCTATTAGGATGTTACTGTTTCTGTTTTCTGCTGGTTCCACCACCCACAACTTCTCGGCTCCACAATCTCCATTCATTGGTACCCATATTATTGCTTCGGCACAGGGCGGTATTATCTCTGGATGGTCCGTAGTCAGACGTCTAATGGGTGTACTTTCATCGTAGCCCACGTTTAACGGAATTTCGACGTTAGACCAGGTCATCACACGTTCTTTCATATCCAGATTGATACCGGAGGCAATCATAAAATCTGCGCCTATTATCACTTCGTCTACGATATCGGCAACTATAAACTCGTAATTCACCGATTTATTGGCAATAGTTAGTCTCAGGGTAATCTTGCCGTGTACTGCCGCGGGCTCCCCCGTTGCTGTGCGCAGTCTGACTCCATTAAGTTGCGTTATTTTTCCCTTTACCAGATCTGATCTTATGATGGACTTTGATGCGCCAGTATCTAACGTCAGAACTCGCTTGTCACCATTGATGTACCCAGTTGTTGTTAGGTTGTGACTTTTCTGTTGTACTATTGCTATGGAGATTGTGGGGCCATCGTCAATGGGAGCCAGTTCATGCCCCGCTAAACTGGCTCGATTTAGTTTAACGGTGACTCATTGGTGGACTGTTGAGCCATTCTTCTACCATCTTTCGTTGGAGGTGGCGACGATGACCTGGATCGTTTGCGCTTAGCTCTGCATTCGCGCGCAATATGACCTGTTTTATCGCAGTTGTAGCACCTAACCCTGGGCTTAGTCATTCCAACTAACTTTGTTTCTTCTATTACCCGCCTCATAGCGTCTTCGATCGAGTTAACGAGAAATTTGGGATCGCAACCTTCTCTCCTGGATACGCCATTAGCACCAAACGTTCCACCTCAGCTGCAAAGTCTTGCAACGTCTCGTTTGCCCTCTGCACTCTTCCCCTTAATTCCATAAGGTAGATGTTTTGTTTATGTTCGCCACCATACTTACGTTCCAGTGCAGCAATAACATCTTCATAGTTGTACCTAGAAGCGACAGGAATACTCTGTATAACATCAGCAGCACTGCCCTTCAATGCCAGAAGTAGTGCAACCGCTTTGTCGCTGTCGTTCCAAGAATTTCTAGAAGCCACTGTCTCGAACTGTAACTTGAAAACATTGAATGACGTAGAGCCGTCGAATACAGGAGGTTTAATTTTTAGTGTGTTATCAGGAACTCGCACCGGACCACCTTTAATTTCCAGTTCCGACATTTTCTTCTCCAGATTCGTAACCCTGTGGTCGTGGACCAGAAATTTCTCATCCACAGACAGAATCTTCTCGTCAACCGACTGAACTTTCTTATCCAACTCTTTAATTTGGACCTCCACGGTTTCCACTCTCCTTCCAATAACTTCTGTAATGTTCTCGAGTTTATCGTTCATTCTACAATTCTCTGACTTGAGTTCATCTAACTTCATGGAATTCTGTTCGAACATTCGTCTCGTGTTTTCTACTAACATTCTGGAATTTTCCGCAAACATTTTAGCCAGCATTTCTCTGAAATCGTCACCCCTGGTAGCTACTGACGAGTCTTCTCCACCGTTGGATTCGCCCATTTCCGATAAATCCACTTCATCCTTACTGTCAAACTCATATGTATCGATGTTCATACCACGGCGCTCGAACTCATCCAACAGACGTTTTTGTAGTTCAGCCTTGTTGCCAGTAGAGGACAATTCCAATTTATTGAGCTCCTTCTTCAAGTCTTCCACTCGTAGATCCTTAAACTTCATCGTAGTATTATCGTAATCTCACTTCCGACACCAATTGTTACGTTCTTGGATTTTAGTTAATCCCGTGTAGTCGTTGTTTTATTTCCCGATACAATTCGTACCAAATAAAACGCGGGTTCTTTCTGATTACGATTATTACAATGATTTTATTCACACAACTTTACTTTGCACTTTACTTTACTCGACGGTTTCAATTCGCGATCTGATTCACAACTGACTCACTGCCTTTCCATTTCCCCTATTTATATGAGCCTTGCTTGTAGCTACAGAAGTTTCTAGACGATCTGGTAACACCTAGATCACGAACAATCTACCAATGCAACAAACACACATACAAATTTACATTGAGTAAACAATAACAACAACACATACAAACTTACATTGAGTAAACAATAACAACAACACATATACAGGCGAGGGGGTGACAAAGAAAGAGGAATTAAGCGATCATCAATGATGACGTTTAACAAAAATTGTACGACAATAACAAAATAGAAAATGAAAGAGGAAATGGAAGGATGTAGAAAAATCTATACAGTAGTTGTTGTTGTGAAGTTATTCGAATAAGCTGCGCAGTAGAAATTTACGTTACAATTCAAATTCTTAAATTAGCGGAATTCATCTAAATTAACTTAAATCTAAAGTTATATTCGTAACAATATGTATAAATATACACGATTTTACCGAAAATGTACATATGTCTTTCTAGACTTAATTTGGTACTCTATGCAATATGTCGTCTCAATCGGGCAATCCTTTTGGTTTCTAAAGCCTGGGAGCTATATCTAAATCTGCAATGACTTCATCGAAACTTAACACCCATCATTCCCGAATCAAATCAATACGCATGCTAAATTTCGTGTATATCGAGCAAACATAGGGTCTTTGATGCATCATTTACAGAAAATCAGACGATAATATATATATGGGCCACATTTAAAGCTAAACCGATTTCAAAAAACTTCTGTACTTGCAATCAGACAATCTATGGGAGTTTGGTGTTCCGTTTTCATAAAATCGGACAAAAAGAAATATATACAAGTTATATCTAAATCTCAACCATTAAACTTTACTTAACCATACCTGTATATAATTCAAAACTTTGTCTCCATCGGATAAATATTGGGAGTTTGGTGCACCATTCGCATAAAATCGCACGAAAATATATGTGGGAGCTATATCTAAATCTGATCCGATTTTCTCCAATTTCAAAGGGCTTCGTTCTTGGAACAAATAATTGACCTTTGCCAAATTTCATCCAATTCGAATCATAAATGCAACCTGTACTTTGATCAGTATAATACATGGATCGACAGACAGACATGCTTAAATCGAGAAAGATATTCTAAGCATATTCTCAAAATGAACCATGGGTCTATCTCGATTTCTTTGGGCTGTTACAAACATATGGGTATGGGCATAACACCCTGTAGTACCACAGAGTGGTGAAGGGCATACAAATCATTTAGACCAGGAGCCATAACTACATCAGTATGGTCAATAATTGCCGGTTTGAGGTCATCAAAATCCATCCATCGAATTTCAAAGATATCTGCGTTTTGACTATTAAAGGTTTTTGTAAAATTTTCGCCTGTGTCACACATTCTATCAAAAAAAAAAAAAAAAAATATATATATGAATTGAAAATAATTCGTTCGCTGGGTTATTAACATATTTAATTTTCATGTAGTATTATGGTTAATGAAATTCGTGCAAGTTAATAATAAAAGGTTTTATTTGGAAGCGAACAGTTCCTAGAAAAATATTACCACATACACACACATACTACAATATTGTGTAATAATAGTAATGATTATTTCCCATTAACAGAATAACCCATGTCAAGAATTGAGGAACGTGGTTATGGGGTAATAAAATAAATAGGTCGTATGAAAAGAACGGGATATAGATTAAATTAAAGTGAAACCAATATGGATGGGTCCGAAGACGGACGGGGCCGAATACACAAGACATGCTCTTATTGTACTCGGTATTTATAGAAATCTGATTATAAAATCAGTGAGCGGAGCAGTATAGTCGGACGGGGCCGACCATATAATGCCCTACACAACTTCCACGAAAATCTAACTTTGCGTTATTTGCACCCTCTTGAAACCTGACTAAAGGTCAACAAATATTACTAATATTCAGTAGACGAGAGCGGTACTTGTTCAGATTCTCTTTACCGTGGGTTATGTTGTGATGTTGGGCCTTCAATTGTGGCCTATAGATAGACTCAAAAAAAATGTTAGGTTTTCGGTCCACTTCATCCCAAAATTATTATCTGATCATCACCGAAAGTTATAGGCGTTGTCCTTGACCATAACTGGAATCTCATGCCGACCCCCTTCTCCATGCAAAAATTCGCGGTGTTTGGGCCATAATTGCGGCCTCTGGACCGACCAGAAAATCGGACAAAAATAAAGGTTTTGCTCCATTTCATCCCCTAAATATTAACCGATCTTTTCCAAAAACAATAGGGGTCTTCATTGGCCAGAACCCATTCTACATGCAAAATTTCGTGAAGATTAGTCGTGCTTACAAATTATAATGGACGGACGGACGGACACACATGTCTAAATCAACTCATCTAGTCGAGATATGATGATCGGTATACTTAAAGGTGGGTCTAGGAACAATATTTTGCGGTGTTACAAACTTTTTGGGCTGCACAAAGCTATAATACCCTGACAACATAGTTGTGTAGGGCATAAAAATAGATTATAAGGAGTCTAATGCCTCAAAATATCTAGACCAAATGGTCAATCTTGTTAGAATGTTACACTAATCAATATTATTTTATTTATAATGTCGGTATATGTTTGACTTAATTTTACCTTCACTTGATATTTCAGAGTTTATCACAAGCCGACCAAAGCAGAAAAATTCAATAAAATTGAGACGAGAGTTGCATGGCTGCGCATGGGTAATTTGAAGCCAAGTTCACAGCATATTTTGTACGTTGAAGCTGTGGGAGAAAAGGCAACATCAATGCCATCAGAAACTCTTGTGTCCTGGAGGGATCCCGCCTTACCAGCCTTTGTGGATGTAAGTATAATAAAAAGACCCTTAGGAAGATACAATATAATTCAAAATCAAATTATCTAGCCTCCTACGGTACATCCTGCTGACAATATACCTGAAAGTGGTTCCATGACCATACTTTGTCCGGGAAATCCTGCTCCCACTATTTCATTATATGTCGGTGGACATTTAGTACGCCAAGATGCCTCAAGACATATGGTTACAGTTATCCATAATGTAACTGCAGATATGGAACATGTTTCGTGTTATGCCGATAACGGATATGGTGTGCCAATGCAGGCAACACGGAAAGTTAATATATGCTGTAAGTATTCTTTTAAGCAATTAAAGTTTAAGCATGTAATAGGAACGTTACTAATTTTTATTTAGATCCCCCCAAAATCCAAGCCGCCGGCATAACAGTGGCCTCGGTGGGCAATGAAGTTGAACTGCGTTGTCTAGTCGATTCGAAACCCAAACCAAAAACCATTTTCTGGCGTGATCATGATGGCCGTATACCGGTCATTGAGGGTGGCAATTATCACATTATGGAACGTATCAATGAATCACATCCGAATTTATATACCATGGTGTTGCGCATTCACAAACTACAAGCAAGTGATGTTGGCGACTATTTCTGTCATGCTGAAAATCCATATGGTTCAAAGACCATACCGGTATCGGTACGTATGCGCACCACCCCCGCCCTCAATCATAATGTTACGGAATGTTGTGCCCAGCTGAATGTTTCGATGACATGCCGCAGTGCCTGCAGCTATTATGTTGATATTGATGCTATAGCTGATAAACATGAATGTATTGTTGAATTTGATAAAATGATGCGTTGTGCCGCTGATGGTTCAGATCATCGTAGTTGTTGTGCTGATTCAAATGTACCACGTAAATGTCTGAATTGGTGTCGCGGAGAGCCGGTGCGTTCCAAAGAGATTTGTAGTTTGCAGTATGCAAGAACTATTGTGGGATGTTTTGAATCAAATCGGGATCGTTTACCAGGACCACCAGAAAATATTTCCGTTAGTGTAATATCGGATAGTGAGGTGGTTATAAAGTGAGTAATATAAATATGAAATATAATATATTACAGATTAACGATTATTTAAAGGACACTACTGTCCGACCGACACCTATTGGGTATGAGTATTTAAATTAAATACAGCTTCAATATATTAGTTTAGGGAAAAATGGAAGTGAACAAAGAGAAAATTCGGTACATTTTACATTTACATTTTTTTCTTTGACAAAGATGAAAATGCAAGACAAGTGGGAAAATTGTGAATGATGTTTTTGGTTCCTATACTGTAACAGCCAATTATGTGCAATCTTGGTTTCCCGTTCAGGAATTTTTGATGTTAAAGTTGCACCTCGCACAGGTAGGCCGGTCGTCGAAAATGTCTATAGCATGTTAAATAAAGTCCTATACTTCATATAAAAATAATCGACTTCTTTTTTCCCAACCTTATGTTTTCGTCCGATTTATAAGTTCTTTACAAGTGATGAATCATAGCACTATACATATGAGGCCGAAACCAAATAGCATTGTACCGTGAGTTATTCCGGGAAGAAACATTTCGAAGCAAATGGTCGCCTGCTTCTTCGGTAGAATTGACGACTATTCCGCTTAAGCAACGTAGGTGGTCGATTCTGAGTGGTACACCACAATTTGCTTTGTTGAAGTCTTCGGAGAAATTCGAAAGACAATAAAAAAGAGAAGACATAGCAAGTGTAACAGGACAATGTGAGCTTACCCATTGGCTCGAACTGCGAGGAGTTGATGGTTTATTTTATCAACAATTTTCGTCTCCAGAGTATTATGCGTTAAAAACTCATGTTTTAGTGGCCCTCGTTCTTTTTTTGTACCCTACACCACCTCGAAATAACCATCGAAGACCCCATACAGTATTTGAGAATTTGCAGAAAATCATTATCTGAGTAGATTTATGCATGTCCATGTAAAACTGTAAACAAAGTACCGGTCGCATTTCTTATACAATTGATATGGATAAAATCGGTTCCGATTTAAAACCAGTATGGAAAGTAGTAAAGTCTGACGGGGCCGACTATATGATACCCTTCACCACTTTGGATATATTCAACCAATGGGATCCTAACAGACGTAGCATTTTTGAAGGACCATTAACATGAAATTAAACATGTCATTCTGCAACCTATACTAAATTTTGGTCAGACATAGAGTGGCCTCTTACAATGGGACAAAATTATGTAAATAAATTTAAAGCAAAAAATACCGAAATCTAAACCGATTTCTTCGAAACTTGTCACATGTTCGGCCTTACTTATAAATCCAAATTTCGTGCAAATTATAGGGACTTTGGTGCACCATTTACACAAAATTCTAAGATGATCTAAGCATGTCTGTTCCTCCGTCTGTTGTAAGCACTCTAGCGTCTAAACGAATTGAGATAGATCGCCAAAATTTTGCACAGAGTCATCTTTTGTCTACAGGCAGGTCAAGTTCAATGATGGGCTATATCGGTCCACGTTTAGGTATAGCTTCCATATAAGGGTACCTCCAAGTTTTCGGTATTTTGGGGTTCTTGAGCGCGTTTTCAACCAAATTCGCTGAAATTTGGTACATTGAGTTCTTATTGGGTAGCAAATCTCTCCACTAAAAATTATAAATATGAGTCCATATTTCCGGATAGCCCCCATATAAGGGTACCCCTAATTTTGTGGTATTTTGGGGGGTTTGATTGCATTTTTCGACCGATTTCCCTGAAATTCGGTACTTTGGGTTCTTTTTGGGTAGCAAACCGCTATACTTAAAATTATAAATTTAGGTCAATTTTTTCGGGTAGCCCCCATATAAGGGTACCCCCAATTTTCGGTATTTTAGGGTTATTGAGCGCGGTTTTCAACAGAATTCGCTGAAATTTGGTACATGGGGTTCTTATTGGGTACCAAATTTCCCCACTAAAAATTATAAATATAGGTCCACTTTTTCTGGTAGCCCCCATATAGGGGCACCTCCCAATTTCCAGTTTATGGGTGGTTCTGACCGGATTTTTTCACTGAATTGGCTGTAATTTAGTAATTTGGGTTCTTATTGTGTAGAATATCTCTCCACAAAAAATTATAAATATAGGTCAATTTTTTCGGGTAGCCCCCATATAAGGGTACGCCCAATTTTCGATATTTTGAGGTTCTTGAGCGTGTTTTTAAACCGAATTCGCTGAATGTTGGTATTTTGTAGTCGTATATGATAAAAAATCTCCGCACCAAAAAATATTTAAAAAAATTATTGTTTATATTAAAATAGTTATCTGATTTGTTCCGTGTGTTGCGGTTGGGTAGTCGTTACGGGGAATAGTCAATTTTTACCCTACAAAGATATTGTGATAAAAAACTCAAGCATGGTAATGAAATATAATGAAACATCTCATCAATATAGTGATACCTCCTGAAGGAAAGAATTGAGATAAACAATTAAAATATTGGGTTCAAAATTGGAATATACCGGTCATTAATTAGGTATAGCCCTCATATAATGATATCCCCAAATATTCACTATTTCCTACACTATGTAATCAATATTGGTCCCCCTTTAGCCATAGCCTCATATAACTTTGTAATATAAATTAGAGAAGTTTGAGGATTTTATACATGCGTTATCAGTATCAGTCCACTTTTTGGATTTTACAGATTTTATATGCCCACTTTTTGGTATGTTCCCTATATTTTCATTCCATGTATCTATCAGTATAACTATGGTGGAGGGTATCCAAAGTTCGGCCTGGCCGAACTTTTTCACTTGTTTTATTTTTATTTTTTAAGTTAATATAAATTAATCTCTGACAAGGTTCGTTGAATTCGGTTCAGATTTAGAAATAGACTTCGTCTGTTAGAATAAATATTTAGAATACACCCAAAGTGGTGAAGGTTATTATATAGTCGGCTCAGTCCGACTATACTACTTTCCTTACTGGGGTTTTTTTCAGAAAATTATCTATTTTTTGTCGTAACCCTCTATCGACCATAAGTTTCACATGCTCTCTAAGAGGTTGGGGGATATGACAAACGACGGAAGCCGTTACATTTTTGGCTTTTTCAATCTCCAAAATTATAACCCGATTCAGCGGCTCGAACTAGTACATTTCACAATGATGTAAAGTTTGCCCTCACATCTATATGGAGGACAAAGTCATTGCAAATTCTCTACTAGGAGCCTTTTATCCTCTGATAAAACGAAATGCTAATTTACAGACCATCTTTTAGAGGGTTATATCACAAAATACTCTCCCCATTTTCCAGAAGATATTTTCGCATTCCAAGAACTTGAAAAGCAAAAGCCAGTCACATAGCCTGGAAAATCCGTCAAAAAATTTGCCAATCAGAATTAAACAGTGCGTTTATGTAACGGCTATTAAAAAAAGTGGACATATATGCACACTTCCGCAGTCACTTACACGAATTTGGGAGGCAAAATAAAACTTTAAATGTTAAATAAATCTAATACAATTATTTTTTTTTGCAATTCTCCCTTAATACATTTTTGTTTTCATTTTGTGCAAAATTTTAAAGTTCAGGTTGAATATGTATTCAAGTATTTTTGCTCCCACATAAGTTTAATATACATAAGCATTTATCTCCAAGAATTCTTCTAAAGAAATGTTCTATATTTAAATAACAACAAGTAACAATTCCCTGAAAAAAGCCTTACGTATTTAGACTAACATTACTTAAGGGAACCCCCCCCCCCCCCCATTCTCGATTTTTTATTTTTAAGATTTTAAATGGGCTGGTAAATGAATACCAATGCTTGTTAAGGTTTGTAAATTGGCACATATATATTTGAAGATTTAAAAAGGAAGAAAAATAATTTACCAAAATTTGTTGTTGTTGTTTTGTTGTTGTTTTTTGGGTTCAAAGAAAAGTCCATATTTTCGATGGCGGGCATGATAACTCCTCACTGGAACATCGGAATCCGAAAATTCCAACTGTGTTAGAAAGAGGACATGTCTGGCTCTCGTATGAACTAGGATTATTGACTTCGCACAAAAATTAATAAAATGGCGGAACTTTGAAAAAAATTTTATGGAAAATCGCCTATTTTTTACCACAAACTAAGTTAAAAAATAAGGAAGATCTTCACCGATTGGCTTTATCCTAGTTCATACGAAAGCTACACACTCCCAGAGAAACGTGTCAAAATTTGAAACCGATTGGATTATTATTTTTTGAGTTATCGTGCCCGCCATTCGTTTTGAGAAAAACGCG